AAAAAAAAAAAAAAGATGTCTTTTGATGGAAAGTAGTCATTTTAAAGTACATTTTGGAAAAAAAAAAGCTCGTTATAGCAATCTGCATTTGAATTTCAGGCAAAAAAAAAAAAGAGAAAAATATATATATATATAAAGGAAAGAGAGAATAGGTATAAAGCATAAAGTTATGTTTGAAATAGCATTCTTCACCTCTTCATGTTCGATTGTAGGACCTAACGGCATGACTATCTGGCTTCCGGTGAATCTTATAGGCATCATCCCTGTGTACGAATGCATGCTCGATTTCAAAGAAGAGGCAGAATAAGCATCAACATTGAAATCTGCCCATTCTGACCGATGCTCCCTTGAAAACCAAACCAGGACAGCTGCGATAACATTCTGTGTACCTCAAAAGGCAATGGTAATAATATATGAAGGAATCAAGAAAAAACGCATAGCTCAAAAAGCAACTAATATGTTTTCATCGATCGATCCACGTGATAATTAGCCATCTCAGTAAGTTATTGTGTAATATTCAGTAAGTTATTGTGTAATATTCAAATGGAATAGCACAATATTTAAATAACAGTTATAAAAAAAATAAAAAATAAAAAAAATAAAAAAAAATTATTGCTATAACACTCACAGGCTCACAGCAATTGTCATCTTCTGAGCTATAGCTTTTGACGATTCGTAAAGTGGACGCAACACGTCTGGCACACTCCATGCCTGGAGTAGTAGTGCAACAAAATGTTTAAAAAAAAAGCTAGTGATTAATTATCAAAGAAATATTGAGGATCACTCAATTCTCAAGGAGTTAATTAATTAAATTAATTACCTGCAGATTAAGATGATCCACAATGTGAATAATCGATCCTCCACCCTCGCATGGTCGAATCAAATATCCAGATGGCAGCATTTCGGCTCTAACAAACTGTGATGTCGAGGAGGCTGCATTCGGGCCGGCCTCACTACCAGAAATTGATCTCTCGCATACCTTTTTGTGATTGGAGATGACAAAAAAAAAACCTTAAAAATCCACTTTCATACTACCTTATTCACTCCAAAAATGTAATAGGGCGATAATGAGAGGTTTTGCTTATGCAAGTTTTCGCCTTTTAAGAGAAACATCATAACCACAATACAAAGAGGCAATTTTTCGAACAGTATACATAGAATTGCACACCACAAGACTACCGGTCTCCAAGGTTTTTGTGTATCTCAAGGTCCATAAATCACGACCGGGAGCAAGTGTAGTCGGTGAAGTACATCTGAAAAAGCAAAATCGAGATAATTAATTTTTCTCTAAACAGAAGAAACTGAATTTGAAAAAAAAAATAAAATAAAATAAAAAAATCCCATAATCAACCTGAGTGTACAAGAGTTCGAATTTTCCACCATTTGCAGCAGAAAACATCGTGAAAATCTCAAGGCTCCGACATTCACGAAACCAAGAGGGACGGTCTTTTAAAATCTCAGCAATCTGTTTGAATTATTTGAACC